CAGTGCTGAAAGGGGGCTACAGGAGAGCTGGGGGGGCTCTGGATCAGGGGGTGCAGGGACAGGACCAGGGGAATGGGTTGAAGCTGGAAGAGGGGAGGTTTGGATGAGAAATGAGGAAGATTTTTTGGATGCGGAGGGGGGTGAGGCAGTGGCCCAGGTTGCCCAGAGAAGCTGTGGATGCCCCATCCCTGGAGGGGTTCAAGGCCAGGCTGGATGAGGCTTTGGGCAACCTGGGCTAGTGGGAGGGGTCCCTGCCATGGGGTGGGACTAAACGAGTTTTAAGGTCCCTTCCCACCCAAACCATCCTGGGATTCTATGAAAAATGGAAACACGGGGATGGAAAGCTGCTCGTCCTTACGCAGAGGTGGAACAGATGCTTCTCCTTCTCTGTGCAAGCCCAGGCAGACCCGGGGTAGACGGACCAGCCCAATATTTTTGGCTGAACTAGTGCCCATCTTATGGCCACTTGTGAGCATCACAGGCCACATCCACACGCAGTAACAAGCCGGGGCTTTGCCTTCTGCCCCCAGACACCCCGTCCCAGCGGGTGCAGTTCATCCTTGGGACAGAGGAGGACGAGCAGCACGTTCCCCATGACTTGTTCAGCGAGCTGGATGAGATCTGCATGAAGGAGGGCGAATGTGCGGAGTGGAAGGAAGCGGCAAGGTAAATCCCAGCTGTCGGCCGCGGTGGGCGAGGACCCCCCATACCTGTGGGCTCTGCTTTCTGCTCGCCAGGATCTGAAGCTTTTGCATCTGCGGGTACAAGGAGCCGCCTCCTCTTGCCACCCCGTAGCTCCATCAAAGGGGTCGCAGAGCCGGGGCAGTTTCCTTGCCATGGGGCCGATCGCTCCCCGTGTCCACAGGTGGCTGAAGTACGAGGAGGACGTGGAGGACGGCGGCGAGCGCTGGAGCAAGCCCTACGTGGCCACGCTGTCCTTGCACAGCCTCTTCGAGCTGCGGAGCTGCATCGTCAATGGCACCGCACTGCTCGACGTGCGCGCCCACAGCATCCAGGAGA